TTTAAAAAAAATTTATTTCACACTACCATACATCAGATGCACATATAATCAAATCTGATTTTAAGAATTCTTGCATTTGCCCTTTGCCCAATGGCTCAGCTTTCTGTCATATCTTTTCTCTATCACCAGGTATCTCTCCCCAGTTCTTTTCATTAGTCCTCCAAAATACACACTCTTTCTTTTAATTCATAATTTTATTGGGAGCTCTTACAGATGTCATAACACTCCATAATTCAAATAGATCAAGCATAATTATACAATTGCCACTACAATCAGTTTTGAAACATTTTTTTTCTTCTTGAACTCTTTGATATCAGCTCCTCTTTATCCCCTCTATCCCCCCATCACCTTCCCCCCCAGGAACCCTTGTTGTTATGGTTACATATTATCTTTCTATTATATATAATAGGCATATATCTTTTAGCCATATCTTACCCCATCCAATATCCATTTACCTACAATTGTGTTATTCGCTCTCTTCAAGTGGGGTTATACAGTTATCCTTGCTATCAGCTCGCCCTTTCCCCTCCTTCCCCAGTCTGTCTTCCCATGTCGTCAGGAAATCATTATTCCTGTTGCTGTTTCTGAAGGGTCATCCATCCTGGCATTCCTTCATCGAATGATCTTACTTGTACACATGAACATACATAGTATTAATGGAGTGAAACATAGCCTTCATAGTAATGGGCGTAAATATTTAAGAACCAGAGGATAGCTATGGGTTTCATCAGTGCTATACTGCAGCCTAAATTCCTCATCCCCTCCTCCACAAAGTCCCTCTGTGAAGGCCTGTGCAATTGTCTTGCAGGTGGATTATCGGTCTCTAATTTGTCCACGCTCCTTCACAACAATTTGATTGCTTGTTTTTGAACTTCTGATACCTATTCCCGTCAACACCTCATAATCACACAGGCGGGTGTGCTTCTTCCATGTGGGCTTTGTTGCTTTCCTGCCCAATGGCCGCACGTTTGACCTGAAGCCATTAAGACCCCAGATGCTATATATTTTTAATAACCAGGCACTATCAGATTTCTACACCATATTTGCTTATGCACCCATTTTGTCTTCAGCGATCAAGTCAGGAAGGTGAGTATCATACATCACCACATTATTAGAACAAATGGTTCTTATCTTAGGTGAGATTTAAATAGAGGCCAAAGTTCATTGGCTTCCTTATTGAATTTACATATATGTACATGTATAGATAAATATACCTATATTTATATAATTACATATTTATACCTATATATATAAAATTTTGCATTCTTCTTCTTTTCTCTTTTTCTTTTTTCTTTCCTCCTGCCCCACTGTCATGCTTACCCTTCATTCACCCCTCAGTAATTCCTCTCAGACACTTTTTGATTGATCAAACTCTACACCCTCATTATATAACCCATGCTATTCCCCTGTCCCTGTCACTGCTGGCTCACCACTCACTTCCCCCACCTCCTCCCCTCCCATGCCCCCCCCAGAACTGTCAATCCCATCCCTGTCTCCATGGGATCACTTATTCTGCCTATCTTATATAGATAGACATCAAAAGAAAATAGATTAAATAAGCAAATAAAGATGTAAAGAATTTTAAATAAGAATAAAAAAAGAGAAAGACAATACAAATAGTTCTAAGTCTAACTGGCATCCTGACCCAGGGTAGATGAATATCTCTTCATTATGTAGCATGCAGGACCTGCTTTAGTCCCTCTACCCAATTGCCTTTTCTTTCAGGGTTCCATATTTCAGGACCCACTTACCTAACAGCATTTATACCCTTTTAGACCCTAGCCTTCGTCTACGAAAGACGTGCGTCCTACAGGTCCCTATTTCTCTTCCTACAGTCTGGAATGGAACGGTCTAGTACCCCCACCCCACCCCTAGCCTGTTACACTGTCAGACTTTCAGTGTGACTCCCTTGTGAGAAACCCCCAACCAGACCGGGTGAGGTGCCAGGTGCTGTCCTCAGAGTCAGAAGTCTACAATCTGGATTCCTTGGGCACTTTGAGGCTTCCCTCCCATTGCTGGTCTGTTGCACTCTTCTCTTGATTTGCTCACATGTGTGCATATCAAACAGGCCGCTCTCCCTGAACTGTATCTTCAGGGCCATCCTCTATAGCATTGTCATCCAGGGAGAGGACATCACATCTAGAGCTGAGGCCAACCCTGTAGTCATCTCTGAGAATGAGCTACTCTGAGCAGGAACACCGCTCTCAAGGATTGGCACACCAGATTGGGGCTTATTCTCAGTCTTTCTTTCCTGTGGAGACATAAACAATACCCTCCACTTGGGTGGATTAGTGCCCTGGTCCCCCTTTGCCATCTTTTTTCTCTGCCTGCCCTTCTGTGGGCCTTAAAGGCTTATGAAAGGGGTGGGAAATATACCTTTCAGCACAGGTGCTATCTGCATCTTTTTGTTTGTTTGTTTATTTATTTGATGACGTGTGTATCACTAGGATTGGTGTGGCTCATGTCAGAGTATCTGGTCCTCAGCCTGGGAGTTGTCTGTTGTGTGCATTTTCCCTTAGACCCATTCTGTTGTTTGGACTTACCTCAGAGGACTCGTTTTGTATTTGACCTTTTGTGTGTGGCTCACTTTTCTCAGCATAATATCCTCCAGCTCTTTCCAGTAGATGAGGTGTTTCATACAAAATGCACACTCTTGATCTAAGTTACCTCAAAGTTCCTACTTCTGTCTCAGGAACAGATGTGTGTTTTTTTTTTCACACCCAGTTATCTCTTAACAAGCTTTTCTCAATCTAAATCTGTCTATATCTAACCAATCATTTGCCAATTGATTCTAACTTGTGATAACCTATTTGTGTTATATAATTGTTAGTCATAGAATTTTATTTTACTTTTTTTGTCATAGGATTTTAAATGCGTTTTTGAAGTAAATCACCAGACATTTTTTCCCAAGCCACCTCGAAGTAGATTAACATTCCATTCCACCTTTCTGCTAGAAGAGTAGCACATAGAGCAGTGGTTCTCAACCTTCCTCATGCAGCGACCCTTTCATACAGTTCCTCACGTTGTGGTGACTGGCCCACCCCCAACCATAAAATTGTTTTCATTTCTACTTCATAACTGTCATTTTGCTCCTGTTATGAATTGGGCGACCCCTGTGAAAGGGTCATTCAGCCCCCAAAGGGGTCACGACCCACAGGTTGAGAACTGCTGACAAAAAGTAGCACACAAACCACTTGCACCACACTTAGGCTTTACTATTAATGTTAAGCTTGTGGATAA